AAAACTAAAGAACTAAACAAAAAAATTTTTTACTCTGACCACGTTAACAAAACAAAGTATAGAGTGAATCTGTCAACAAAACGGCAATGACTTAGTTGCCCACATAATATTTGCTTCCATAATTGTGAATATGTCAACATCAAAGGTTTGTAGGATTTTCTGTACTTGGATCTTCTTGCCCTGTGACATCCCTCCAGCATTCCACTGGAGGATCTGAAGACGTTGTGATTCGCCCTGACGAGGGCGATTTCTCTTATAGCCTTTTTTTCAAGCTAATCATAATTAATCGAAGTCAAATCAAATCAAATCAAATGACAAGTGATGGACTTCTTTGCCGTATGAAGATACGTTGTCCAGGGTGCACCACTTGCATGTAAGTCTATCGCGCACCCCTGGCTCCCTGACCGGGAGTTGAACCCGCGAAAATTCAAGCTCAAACAGATGATGCCCAAAGCTATTCTACTTTACAGAAAAATCAATTCATGTACACCAAATAAGTTTTCGAAAATGATTAAAATTCTATTGGAAATATTGCGTAGATTTAACTAAGAAATAAATTATTTCATCATCAGTTTTCTCGCTAAACATTCATTCAAAATGAGATAGTGATCACACAGAAAATGGTATTTTTATCTTATTCCATTGATAAAGTAATTTATTATGGAATTCTAAGTAATTCTAAAATATTACATTCTATTCTACATAATGGCCATTCGTCTACGAAAACCTGCAGCATAAGAAATGTAGAAAAGTTGGGTTGAACGCGTGAAGAAGTAGACTAAGCTCAAATTCTATGAACGAAAAGAATTTTGAGAAATTGGTTTCCCTAAGAGTTGATACGGAACTGAAATCCCTCAATAAGTAAATATTATTAATTCCTTCAATAAGTACAAATATATATATCTTCCAGCGTTTAATATTTGCAATTATCAAAGACAGGTTTTGATATGGACAGATTTCTATTTTTAATAAACTTGTTTGTTTATAGTTTATTACTGATGAAATATGCCGTAAAAGCTCCAGAAATTGCAAGACTTGGCTAATGTAAACGGAATTAGCTTGGATATTTTATGTAAGAAATCGTATATACGTATGATATTAACTATGACAAGTTTAATTCACCAATTGTTTATTCTTAGTAAATATTTGGTGTGATCATATTCATTTTATTAATTTCCCTTTCTAGAGTAAAATTCAGCTTTGTTCGGTTTAAGCGATGAAATTGAGATATTAATAACTAGTAGTAAACTGTAGTGTGAATTGTAACAATGCAATGGTAATCAGTTAATAATGTTACACATATTTACATGCCGAAATTGAAACTAGCTTATACGGCGAAATCGCTATTCAGTACCTTGTAATATTTCGCTAGCCCTGAACTGTACAGGCCAAAGAGAATTAAATTAATGAAATTACCTTTATCTTGTAAGCTTAACGATAATTTTTTGAAAAAAATAAATCAGCAGATTTCATAAAGCAGAAGTATATATTTATAAATATATAATTACAGAAAGGTACTTTCATGAAAAAATTAGATTTAGAAATTATCGAAAACATGATAAAATGTTATATATTTGGTTCATTCATCATTACCGTAGATATATTTATATAAACTTTTATAAAGATTTAAATAAAATGGTTTTTTATTGAAATTCAATTTAAAAATAGGTGAACACTTGTTCATTTTATTAATAATTAATTTTTATTGTTTAACTCTTCGTAGGATTTGAGGTTGTTGTGATTTGCGTTTAATTCGCTAGCTTAGTCAATCTGCAATTATGTCTGCTGCGGGCCCATCGAAGTCGGTTCCGTTTTAAAGCTTATATCCTATTTACTTTTCAAAAATTTAATTTGCTCTAATCTTTTTAGTGACACACAGAGTCCAAATTGTAAAAAGAAGAGAAATCGTCTCATTGTCGATGATGCTGTCAATGATGATAACTCAGTTATTGTTATCTCTCCCGTATGCCCATTGATTTTTGTCATTTTCCATTTCTAATAGGCCACCATGTCAGCTTTGGAGCTTTTCCGAGGTGATACCGTTAGTGTGTTTGGCAAAAGAAGGAAGCAGACCGTGTGTGTTGCTTTGTCCGATGAAAATGTATGCGATGAAAAAATTTGCATGAACAGAACGGTCAGAAATAACCTTAGAGTGCGCACGGGAGATGTTGTGTCAGTTAAGGCTCTCCCCGATATTAAATATGGTCATAGAATTCACGTTCTTCCTATCGATGATACCATTGTTGGGCTGACTGGGTATGTTTCCGATTTTTATCTAATATTTTTTATAGTGACCTCTTTGATGCTTACCTTAAGCCCTATTTCCTGGAAGCATATCGTCCTGTTACTAAAGGCGATACCTTCTTAGTGCGTGGCAATATGCGTGCTGTAGAATTCAAGGTTATCGATGCTGATCCCTCTCCTTCGTGTATTGTTGCACCTGACACGATTATTCATGCTGAAGGAGAACCCGTCAAACGAGAAGATGAAGATGAAAAGTTGACTGAAATTGGTTATAATGATATTGGTGGCTGCAGGAAACAGCTAGCTCAAATTAAGGAGATGGTCGAACTGCCTCTGCGTCATCCACAACTTTTTAGGGCTATCGGTGTTAAGCCTCCTCGTGGTATTCTACTCTATGGTCCTCCTGGTACTGGTAAGACGCTGATTGCTCGTGCCGTTGCTAACGAAAGTGGGAGCTTCTTTTTCTTGATCAACGGTCCTGAAATTATGTCTAAATTGGCTGGTGAATCAGAGTCTAATCTGCGTAAAGCCTTTGAAGAGGCAGAGAAGAATTCTCCTGCTATCATCTTCATTGACGAATTGGATGCTATTGCTCCTAAACGTGAAAAGACTCACGGCGAGGTCGAAAGAAGAATTGTCTCCCAGCTTCTTACTCTTATGGACGGTCTGAAACAAAGAAGCCATGTTATCGTTATAGCCGCAACTAATAGGCCTAACAGTATCGATCCAGCCCTCCGTCGGTTTGGTCGTTTTGATCGTGAAATCGAAATCGGCATTCCTGATGCCACTGGTCGTTTGGAAGTTCTTCGTATCCACACGAAGAATATGAAACTTGCCAATGACGTTGATTTGGAACAAATTGCTAACGACGCCCATGGTCATGTTGGTGCTGATCTCGCCTCGCTTTGTTCTGAGGCTGCTCTTCAGCAAATTCGTAATAAGATGGACTTGATTGATCTTGAGGATGACACTATTGATGCTGAGGTCCTTGAGTCTCTTGCAGTAACCATGGATGATTTCCGTTGGGCTTTGGGCAAGAGTAACCCCTCTGCTTTACGAGAGACCACGGTTGAAGTGCCTAACGTCACCTGGGAGGATATTGGCGGTTTGGAGGGCGTAAAACGCGAACTCCAAGAGATGGTTCAATACCCTGTTGAACATCCAGATTTATTCCTAAAGTTTGGTATGACACCGAGCAAGGGTGTCCTTTTCTATGGTCCTCCTGGTTGTGGTAAAACACTGTTGGCCAAAGCTATTGCCAACGAGTGCCAGGCAAATTTCATCAGTATTAAAGGTCCTGAACTCTTAACCATGTGGTTCGGTGAATCTGAGGCTAATGTGCGTGATATTTTCGACAAAGCGCGGCAAGCTGCTCCATGTGTTCTGTTCTTTGATGAATTGGACTCAATTGCTAAGGTAATTGTTGTTTTAGCGTTGCTATCTAACTACTATTATATTCAAGGCTCGTGGTGGCAGCGTTGGCGATGCAGGTGGTGCAGCCGATAGAGTGATTAATCAACTTTTGACGGAAATGGACGGTATGTCCTCAAAGAAGAATGTCTTTATTATTGGTGCCACCAACCGTCCGGACATTATTGATGGTGCTATTCTTCGTCCCGGTCGTCTTGACCAGCTGATCTACATTCCTCTTCCCGATGAGAAATCAAGAATTGCAATCTTCCAAGCCAATTTGAGAAAATCGCCTGTAGCTAAGGTATGTTTTTCCACTACTGTATACTTATTTGATTTTTTTGAATTTTTCATGACTTTCTGTTTTACTTCTTTTGCCAGGACGTTGATATCAAGTATTTGGCTAAATGTACGAATGGTTTCTCTGGCGCTGATCTTACAGAGATTTGTCAGCGGGCTTGCAAACAAGCTATTCGCGAATCAATTGAAGCTGAGATTAGGGCAGAGAAGGAGCGTCAGAATAACCCCTCTGCGATGGAAGCTGATAGTGACCCCGTGCCAGAAATTACTCGAAATCACTTTGAAGAAGCCATGCGATTTGCCCGCCGATCCGTGACTGACAATGATATTCGTAAGTATGAGATGTTCGCCCAAACTCTGCAACAATCTCGGGGTATTGGTGCCGCCGGTGCCGGAAACTTCAGATTTCCTAATGAGTCTGGAAGTGCGGGCCCTAATTCTAACCCCAACCCGAACACTCCCTACAATCAAGGAAATGCGGATGAGGACTTGTACTCATAAGTTCTCGTTCTTTTTTTCATGTATCGCTCTCCCTCTCTATCATCATAACCTTTCCCTCTCCTTCACCTCTCTTGTAGCCATTGCTAACTTTTGATCGGCTATCATTTTCCTTGGTTGTATTAATCTTGTACGTTGCAGGATTAAATTCGTCTTATTCGTCTCTTGAGTCTCCTCTTACTCAGTTGGTTCCTCTTGTCATTTTCTGGATCAAAGTAACTTAAATTAGTCAGTGAAATGGATGAGATAATGAAGTGAAAGTAATTGGTTATGGTGTACGAGGGTAGTAGTTTGTAGATAATTTGGAAGTGGTAGTGGTTGTCCCTGTTTTTAGTTTCACCCTTACTTTATGCAAAGTTGATTTGAGAGGTTACTCGGTTAATTGGCTCAAGTAGAACATTGACCTGACTGAACTTAATTAAATAATAGTAGCTAACTTTTACGATTGGTGTTGATCTTATTGAATTAGATTTAGTTTAGCTTGAGCTCAAGCTAACCTGAAGCTGCCCTGATGAAATTGAAGCTAATGAAATGTAACCCCGGTTCTGCTGAATTTACTTATCTTGTGTGTGCACTTCTATTTGATACAGATTTTCATTCCACCGTTTAGTTAAGGTTGGATTTTGTCGATTCATCGAATCTATTTCAAAGAAACACGATGCGTTATTCATTTAAGGTAATCTTGTAAATGGTCTGCTGGAGTTTTAGGGTACTACGTTGCTGAAATGACCTCCCTACAATGGATGGAAATACGCCAAAATTCCACAAAGAGGCTATGAATAATGGTTCGAAATGAAGAAACAGAGCTGCTGGATCAAGAATATCAGATCCTGTTTTACAAATATTCCTAAGAGGTCCTAATGTAATCAATTAAATTGACTTGTCAAGAGCCCTAAAATGGATTAACCCAATTACTCATTATTTAAAAATAATGTAATTTAAGCTTTTGAATATTGCAAGGACAAATAAACTCGATAAAATTAGTATTAGCATTACCAACAGTGATACAACGAAATTCTACATTTTTTGCTAATTCAGTTAGGCAACCAAAATCGATCAAGGATAATGCTTAAATGTTCAAAAAACACATAGAGTGGTCGTATCATTCAATGTTTGGAATCGGGGGGTGTGTGATAGACTTACCTCCACGTGGTGCACCCTGGGCAACGTATACTCATACGGCAAATAAATCTATTACGTGGCAGTTGACTTCAAACTACCATCACCTCACTCTATGCCATATTCGACTATTTCCACAGTACCCACCTCACCTTTGTTCTACCTTTGTGTTTGTCTCTTACATCTTTGAAACACTCTTCTGTTCCCCCCCCCCCTCTCGACTTTTTTCACTTTGATGTTCCTCCTCCCCTCTGTGGAGCCTGAAGTCAACTAAATGGCTAATGATAACCATCAAGACGCCTGCCATTTGATATAAAATAAATAAATAAACGTCAATTCATTTTTTTCCCAAGGACGAAGAAAGCAAATTGAAGGTCACCAGAATTCGTTAAACCTTTCCATTCAAGGCAAGCCTTCACATTCCTCATCGGAGGGCGAACACCTCAGTACTTCTTTAAATCGGGGTGTGAGATAGACTTACCTCCACGTGGTGCACCCTGGGCAACATATACTCATAGGGCAAAAAAGTCTATTAACCGGCATTTGACTTCTAACTTCAAACTACCATGGCCCGACTGCTTGTCATACTCGACCCCTACCACAGTACTCATCCTACCTTTTTCCCTATCTTTGTGTCTGTCTGCCTCTTTTACATCTGCGAATCGCTCTTCTGTTCCCTACCCCTCTACTTTCTTCTACTTTGATGAACCTTCCCTCTGTGAAGCCCGAAGTCAGCTAAAGGGCTAATGATAGCTATCAAAGCGCCTGCCATTTGAAATAAATAAACTTCTTTAAATTTGAATCTTTGTTGCCTCACTGCATAGATGTTAGGGCTGCTTGATTCCTTTACACCATCAATTTTAATATGGCTTACTAATAGGGTGCATAATATGGCCATTTATTAAAAGAGCCTACACAATTTAAACGAAAACACACATTAGGTTTCATATTCCAACTCAGTGGGAAAAGTGGACAAATCTTGATGGTCAGTGCTTTCTTTATTTCAACATTCCCTTTTTAACACATCACATGTGCTGTGCAGTTCTGAAATTCTTGTTTTTTTTTCATCGGTAGCATTACCCTTCGACTCGCATGGCAGCCTTGAATTTGCACTAACGTTATGAAAGCACACACCTAGGAATGTAAAGCAACGGAGGAATAGTTGCGTGCCAATGCTGTCTCCAATAGATATCTACCAGCAACCATTGAATTTTAATTTTGACAACCTTGAAAGTAACTAATACCAGTAGAATTATGCACCTATCTCAGATGTATTGATTAGTAATGTATACTACACTAAAACCTCAATAATCTCTGGCAAAATCCCCAAGGATAAAATTGTGCCCGAAATTAGCTAAGTTAAATTAACATTACCGAGGTGACAGAATGTGTTGTTGGAAGAGCATTTGTTGGAGCATACAGGCTCTTTACTCGAAGATTAGTCACTGAAAAGGCTATTAATGCTAAAATACTGTGTGGTGACTATTAATTACTCGATGGCTGAAAGATCTTTGCACTCACGATCATACTCTTCAAAATGTTCTTTGTTTAGCCACTGCAAAACTGTGTACGGTTAATTGAAGAACAAATACATCTCATTTCTGATATCATAAGTTCAGTCATTTGCAAAATTTATTTATATCAAATGGCAAACGTTTTGATAGTTATCATTAGACCTTCACAGAGGGGAGGAGGAACATCAAAGTGGAAAAAAAGTCGAGAGGGGGGGGGGACAGAAGAGTGTTTCAAAGATATACAAGAGACAGACACAAAGGTAGAAAAAAGGTAAGATAAGTAATGTGGAAGTAGTCGAATATGGCATAGAGTGGGGTGATGGTAGTTTGAAGTCCGAAGTCAACTGCCGGTTGATAGACCTTTTGGCCGTATGAGTATACATTGCCCAGGGTGCACCACGAGGAGGTAAGTCTATCGCCTAGAAATGGAGCTATTTAGGATGGAAAAGGTGGAGATTCTCTAGAGTGATCCATTATTATCTAACTTAGAACTTTCTGGAATGAACTATGTTCCACCCACGCATCCACTTAGAAAAGGATCTGTTGGAAACGCAAGAAGCAGCCTACCAAATCACATCAGCAAGGGCTGTTGGTGTCGATTTAAAATCAAACCAACTTTCGTGGAAGCAAATTAGTTGTTAGCATGAAGATAAGGCAAGATTTTGATCTGCCTATTAATCAGTTGATAATTGTTTAAATTGACTTAATTATCCCTTTTGATTTCAACGGGGTACTCAACTTATACCAAGTTACCACCCCTACGTTTTTCAAAATGGCCATTTCCGTTACTTTTAAAACAATAACTTAATAATAAAATAACATTAAAATCCTCCGAGATTTGATGGTTGCATTGATTAAAAGAATTGCAAAATCTCGATATCTTAAGCACCTCAAAAATACTTCCCATCATCAATCTCTTCAATTTCCTTCCATCAATTTGGAGAGCCTTGAATGATCAATAAATAGACTAAATCGCATGTATTTAAGCGGGTTAAACTGTTTTAGTCTTTACAATCAATCGTAGTCTGACCACTCAGTTACTTATTAGTATTTTCAAACATTGTCTCAAATTTTAAAAATTGAGATTTGGAAAAGAACAAAAGTCACATATCTGAGGGTAGGGGGGATAGTGATAGTATGCCGACTTAGCGACAGTGACTCGCTTATGGAGTGCATGACGCTGTCATGGCTGAACAAAGAAATGTCATACCCCCTAAGACAGACCCCAAGAGTGCGTTGTGCAATTTGTCGCGTAGGGAGCCAGTGTGCCCTCTCAGTCATCCACCAATTAAAAGTCCATGAAGCGTTTAACAAACCCTCACTCTATTTTAATGACCAAGCTCTGTGACAGACAGTTACAAATCCAAAATGAGTCCATTCCATACTCCACGTATGTCACCACTATATTGTTGAGGCGAGCGTACCATCGAGATTATTGGGCATTAGTCATGGCTTGTTAGTGTAGTAATCGGCAATAGGCTGGACCCGAATATTATGGTCATCGGAGAGTTCATGATCTCTTGGACGCAAACCTCACCTTGAAGGTGAAGGGAAAAAAGGCGACACATAATCCATAAAAAGTCGGGGAGGGGAATTGTTAAATGAGCAGAAACGGTTGTTATATTCTTATTTAGAGTTGAATATCTTGGAGAAATTGGTCTGAGAATTGCAGCATAGAGATCTTTTTTGAGCTCGATTTAGCAAATTATTAATTTGAGTAAATATTCAAAATTTCGAGTTCTCTATTATGACAATAAATCAGCTTTCGAGAGCCAAGAAGGGGAAGCATCGTTAGAAGTTAATTGTGAAAGGGGGTATTTATGACGAGAATAAAGGCGTTAAGTGCTAATACATTCGTGATTCTGCAATTGTCTAGATATATGAAAAAACACTTAACTCTCAATAACGCGCCTGTTTAAGTAAAGACAAATTTCATCATGTTATTGAGATCGGAAACAAAGACATGTGATCGAATTGGGACAGGTTTGAGTTCAGTCAGTATTACTAACGTAATTACTACATCTCTCATCTCAAAAAAGTCTATTTACTCTTGAGTAACCACAGACTTAGATTAACAGTCCAAAAGGCTCTAGATTGAGGAAGGAGAATCTCACCTCAGAATCAAGATTGAAAATTAGAAAAGTATCACAAACGGAATTTTTCCACTTAAAATATGTGCTCAAATACAAGCTCCCGAATTCGAAAAGAGCTACTTGCAGTATTCTCCATTCATTTCTTACTTAAAAATCAAGGCCTCCATCTTTTCCCATCGCATTTCAATCATTTGATATGTCTTGAATACGGACCCTCTCTCCCCCTCCCCCTTCCCCACACTCATGACATTTTAACTTGTCATGGGGATTGAAAGAGCTTTGTTTCTCAAATCAAAAATCACTTCACACGAACTGACTTGAGATTTTGCCGACCAGTTCGATAGGTCGTGCAAATCAGAAGATGTTGAAGCATCAAGTAGGACAACCGCCATCTTCTCTAAGGCGAGAGGACATTAGGATGGCGGTAATTAGATTTGCAACACTTAAATTAGTTCATTTTCCCTAAATCCCAATTTCTCACCTTTCTAACCAGATGTCCATTGGCTCTATTTAAAAGGAGTTCATAATTTCATTCTTTTCATTATGAGTTAGAAAAAGAACAAACAATAATTCCAATTTTTCAATCGTTAGCACACCATGAAATTTCTAACAATGAGACATTTCGTGGTTGTATATTCAATGATTGTCACGATGGATTTCAATGGTTAGTTCAAAGACCTGAGATCATGTTAATAAAAAGCAGTCATTGATACTGATCAATAACACAACCAAGACTTCTCTAGCTTCATTCTAGAAGTCAATCTTATTTCAATTACTTGATAAAACGGTGATAGCAGACAGTGTTTTACGAATAGAAGCACTTTTCCATCCTCTTACAAACTCTTTGGAATACGTAATGGTCTTGATTTCGTCTCGATGGCATATGTTGGTGAGTATAACGCCTTATCAGTTGGAAAATCGAGTGAGTTCTTGCTTGTGGCGTCGTGGTCAATGTGTTCTGCAGCGGTGTTTGAAATGTCTGGTTGAATGCAATTTGGGTTTGAAATGATCAACTATTATGGCTCAAGTTAGTTAATAAAGAGATTGGTAAACTCTGTGAATGTTGGAGAGGTATTTAAATGATTTAATGCAATTTCCAATGTGGTCTCTTCACTTAACTTGAGCGTTACACACTAAGACCACCTTTTTTATATTCTAAATGGGTGCTGGGAAATAACCACTTTTGTACACACGGCTTAACGAAATCAGAAGTAGTATAGTCATTTTAAGTGAATATCTATTGGAGTAATTACTCGCACGATTGTCATTGGCTACTGTTTGCTGGTTGTATTTCGAAATGCCTTTTAAACCTTGTCAAAATAAATTACATTTGATGTCACTATGTGAAAAGTAAGTACTTAAATCAATGTCGAACTTTAAAAGTCCACTTTTTATTAAGACGAAATGAAAAGAAAGAACGCTCAAACTTGATTAAAGATGTAATTGGTAGTTGGCCGATGGGCTAATTCACACTTTAAGTTTAATTAAATTGACTTCATTAGTGTCTCTAAAGATAAGAATAAAACAATCAATAATATTTCAGTTTTCTTTAGAATATTTTTGAGATTTAAACTGATTAATTTTAAGCATAGATGGGTTCATTTAGGGAAAGGGTTGACTGAAGCTTCAATTAATTTGTTCCTTAATTGAACTAGTCTGGAAATCGAAGAAGAATGAAGATTGTTATTCTGATGAGAAAGGGTGAGAGCTAGAGACTCAGCTAGTGGAAAGGAGATGGGGACATTTGGAGGTGAAGAGAGGATTGCAGGAGGACCTGGTTAGAGATGTGAACTGTTTAGTGTTGGCACTAACCTCGGATGTAAGTGCCGTTGAGAGGGTAGCTATACTTGACTAAAGATCACAGGCGAATATGAGGAAATCTGAAGTTGACAATGATAATTGAAATAAATGATATTCCGTGAATGATCTCACAGGGTATTTATGAATGGACAAATGGCAACAAAGAATTTGCAAAATCATTCTAAAATAATGATATACAGAGCATGGAAGGCATGGTAACATGCGCCTGATGATTGACCACGTAACAACAACATTGAAATATAAAATGGATTCGAATATACCTTCTGTACTGCTTTCAACACCTCAGTAAGATGAAACGCATTGATACTAGATTGGAGTGAAGAAGATTTGAAAATTGTTTTGGTAAGCTGTCGCCATAAAGTGATTAAATATGCTTGTTATTTCGATGAATAAAAACATTGTGCCTGTTTTATAATCAGAGAAACATTAACATGCCTGAATCGAAGCTTCGCCATATGGCTGAATAATATACATGTAATTATCCCATCGGTGAAGATTTGAAAACTTTACTCACATTTGCTTCACCATTCCACTGTGTTTCACCGATTAGGAAATATGCGTGTAGGCTGTTTTATTTAAGCAATCAAGGGGTGTGCGATAGACTTACCTCCACATGGTGCACCCTGGGCAGCGTATATTCATACGGAAAAAAATCTACAAATCGGCAGTTGACTTCTACATTTAAACTACCATAACCCCACCGAATGTCATGTTCTACCACTTCCACAATACTCACCTTACCCTTTTTCTCTGCCTTCATGCCTGTCTATCTCTTTTACATCCTTGAAGCACTTTTCTGTCCTCCCTCTTCAATTTTCCCACTTTGATGTTCCTCCCCTCTTTGAAGCCCGAAGTCAGCTAAAGGGCTAATGATAACCATCATTAAGCCTGCCATTTGAAATAAATAAATTTGAGCAATCAAATTGTAGGCACTTAAAATTTCAATTTCAAAGCCTCCTTCCATTCATGCTAAAAGAGCTTCATATCAAAAGGCGTGGAATAACATAAACTGGAATAAGCCAGAAATTACTCTGTTTTGCGTGAATCATTTACCAACACCTCTAGCCAACGGTTGCGAGGCTCTTTGCGACGTGCTTTACTTTGATTGGTCATTGAAGTCTGACCTTGAGCTTTATCTATTTGTGGAATGGCTTAAACAGCACACGGCTGCCATTCATGGTTTCGATGCGCAATATGCTGTAACATGGTAAGACAGGCTTTTAAAATAATAATTTAAACATATTTATTATTCGTGTTATTGAATTATATCTTTTATGTACATATTGTTAAGAAGTTTATAAAAAGTGGGAATTGAATTGCATATCAGTAAAATAATGCCGAATAGATTCTGTTTCCTATTATTTCGAGTGAACTGCTTCAAAAAATGGAGCCAAACTTAGATTTCAACCCACTTACACCAAATTTCAAGGTCAAATGCACTGTCGATGCAGTGTATTTCCATGTGCTTTATTCTGATTGGATAGGTCGGTCTAGGTTCATTAATTTAGCATCTAGAATGATCCACTTGTGTATGAACATGGATGGATTTCGGACATATCCTCTAGACTGGTATGTAGGGTGCTTAAAGGGCGATTCCGTATTTCACTATTGATTTTCTCAGTTTTTTGTTAGATTAGTTTTTCTCTTCTGAATGAATATTAGGCTATTGTAATTTTAGAATGCTGTCTGACTAGCAAATAATTAAGGTGAGGTTTCGCTTTGGATATAATGAATGTTGTCTTTGTGGAATTTGTTTGTAAACTGTTCCTTTATTGATTGGTGGAGATCTAAATTCAATCCCTACCTTAACTTTCCAGAGGAAATAATAAAAGACACCTATGAAGATCAATTTGAAAGTTATCGGTGATTATGAGGGATTATGCCTCGAATTGCATTGGAGTCCATTCTGAAAAACGCTATTTTGCTATTGATGAACACTTTAAAAACGATGTGTAGATTCCAGTGACAGCAGTTTGGTCGAATACATTCATTTCATACTTGAAATTGAGCTACACATTTTTATAACTATATGTTGGTATTATTCTAGTTCGGAGAAGGAACCATTGAGAAAGATCTTACTTAAAGAAACCTTTTTGATCATCTTCAAGTCTGTTTCTTTTCCTAAAGAAAGTAGTATTCTCATTAATTGTGGTTGTCTAAATTTTTGGTTAAACATTTTACCTCGATCCTACGCTAAGAGGGAGAGCGTGGTGTTCGAAGTAAAACGCAAGCAATACTTTATGAAAACGAACTAAAACTGTGATTCAAATTGCTACATATTTTACGTTTTTAACGAGTGTCACAGTACATTAGTTGGGAATTTCGAGTGTGCATGAGATTCATTCACTGCACACTATGAGCAAAAGTATTCCTTACTTGCTCTACTATAGAAATATTTATTTATTCATTTATTTTAAATGACAGGCGTTATGATAGGTATCATCAGCCATTTAGTTGACTTCGGGCTTCACAGAAAGGAAGAGGAACATCAAAATGGCAAAAAGTCGAAAGGGGGACAGAATGATGATTCGCAGACGTAAATGGGAGAGACGGACACAAAGGTAGAAAAAGGGTGAGGTGACTACTGTGGAATTAGTCGAATATGGCATAGAGTGAGGTGATGGTGGTTTGAAGTCAGAAGTCAACTGCCAATCGATGGACTTTTTGCCGTATGAGTATACGTTGCCCAGGGTGCTCCACGTGGAGGTAAGTCTATCGCACACCCCTCTTCAGAAATATAAAATAATGGATTTTTCTTTATTCGCATATTTCCTTTTTTTCTTTAAAATTGCAATTCTATTTCAAAAAGACAAGAATAGTATTGTTAATGCTCAATTTTTTATTTTACTTATTCACAGGGAATTAAAAAGTTTTGTTATTTTACAGCCACTTTTCAACGTTAATCCGTTTCCAAGATGTACAAGAAAGTAACAACTGTTGATCTGACTATTAATAATGAATCAGTGGAGATCATATACCTTCAGAAGTCGTAGTTGATCTATATAATCTAGTTCAGAAACCAATTTTCAGGAATACTTTAGCTTAGAGGAGTTCATCGTTTCACAGGTTTCAATGTCATCATGATTGAATAGCAACTCATATATCTTTCCACCAATAGCTACAATTAAGAGAAAATGTTATCAGATTATAAGTGGAGTCTGGTATTTTGAAAGGTGATATCAAAATTCAATTAACTGCTCTTTCATTTTAGGCAGGAAAAATTGATTAACCACACAATTGAATGAATCTATCAATTTGTTCAAACCAACAGTGATATGAACTCGGAAGAAAAGATCCTATTTCATTTCAAATGAAGATGATAAAATTGGATTTGCCAAACAAAAGACTCCTTTCAAAATAAATCATCGGATATGAATAAAATTCGGTTTTTATCACTTCGGTCCACAGAGGTGGTCCCTCAGTGAAATGGAACAACATCTCCACAGAAGATAAAATTAAAAAAATACCAACGACGTATACACTTCCATTGAAAAATTCTGCTTTTGGATAGGCCCTCGACTGAAGCATGTAAGCGATTTCACACCCACTGCCTGCATACCCAAGAGGCGATGAAGTTGTCAAAACGATTTCTGCTNAACAACATCTCCACAGAAGATAAAATTAAAAAAATACCAACGACGTATACACTTCCATTGAAAAATTCTGCTTTTGGATAGGCCCTCGACTGAAGCATGTAAGCGATTTCACACCCACTGCCTGCATACCCAAGAGGCGATGAAGTTGTCAAAACGATTTCTGCGTTGTGGACACCCCGTGAATCATCTCCAGTTTCCATATACCCACCAAAAACTAAATCACCAACACCGGGTATATGTGCTGCTCCTGTGCCATACCTACGAGTTGTCATTGGAGGGAGTTTCCTCCACCTACATTTTGGAAATACTAACTTCTCAAGTGATACTTACTGATTCGTTACCTTCGACCTACAAGTTGGAGCTTGAAATCAGGCGATGTCTAATATCTACATACGCACATGTTGGTGCACACTGCTACCAACATCTTGCTTATTTGAACGAACAAATGTCTGATGATGCAATATTTAAAAGACCTTCAATTGTCGGATATAAGAAGAAATTTTTATCCAAAGCCAATGCAACATGAATACTTTATTAAGTGACTGTCCTTCTGCCAATGGAAATCAAAAGTGAATGCAAGTCATTCTCCAATCCAGCTCAGACACACTTAGTTTGAAGCAGAAATTGTATTTGTAATCCAAGCAGGTCCAAACATCACATCAGACAACGTATTTTGGAACGCGTATAATTTGATTATTAAATGTTTTCGTATGGGGTGTGCGATAGACTTACCTCCACGTGGTGCACCCTGGGCAACGTATACACATACGGCAAAAAAGTCGATTAACCGGCAGTTGCCTTCTGACTTCAAACTATCCCCACTATGCCATATTCAACCCATTTACAGTACTCATCTTACCTTTTCNGAAGTCAGCTATATGGCTAATGATAACTTTCAAAACGCCTGCCATTTGAAATAAATGTTTTCGTATTGGTTGCAGGCATGAATTCCTCTCAATAGTCTAAGTAATTGCCACTTTGCGTATTATATCCACCAAAAACTAGAATTACATAATCTTGAGCCACTGAGGAATGCCTATCTCTCTCTCTTCAATCATTGGTTGGAGTGCAATCACTTCACCATTCTGTAGATTGATTTTTTTGCACTCTTGGTATACTGTCTTCAAACTCGTTTATGCCACCCAGAGTATAAACACTACCTACAAGGAGTAAAGTAGAGTAATTAGGAGAAAGAAATTGAAGTTATATCAAACCATCCAAAGCAACTGTGCAGCTGCCGAGTCGAAATTTTCATGGAACAGAAAAATTTCTTCCCCCAATTAGTTCAGGAACAGTTACTAAAACACCGCTATTTGAATCGTAATGACGCAGATTAACACAAATAATCCTTTTCATTCTACAGCGACAAAACAACGCATTATGTATTCCATGCCATGTGTTACCCTTTCCTTAGAGATTCATTCAAATTCATAAATGTACTAAT